CCGGTCTCTGGGACCTCTTGGAACCAAATTACGACACTTTTGGCAAACTCCGCCCACTTAGGTGCGTGCTCTACCCAGTAATAGCAGTTGAGCTCTTTTCCCTCACCAACCTCTAACCCCGTTTTCCCCTATCTCTAGGACCTCTTGCAACCGAATTGCGATACTTTTGGCAAACTCCGCCCACTTGGGTGCGTGCTCTACCCACTAATAGCATTTGACCTCCTTTCCTTCGCCGACCTCTACTCCCTTTTTCCCAGCCTCCTGGACTTCTTGGAGCCGAGTTATGAATTTTCGTCGCAAACTCCGCCCACTTTGGTCATGTCCCGCCCACCATTGACAGCTGGCCTCCACTCCTCCACCCACCTCCATCCACCTTTTCCGCGGCCTCCGGGACTTCTTGGAGCCAAGTTATGAATTTTCGTCGCAAACTCCGCCCACTTTGGCCAAGCCCCGCCTACCATTGGCCTTTGACCTCCACTTTCCCACCCAACTATATCTTCTTTTTTCCCCACTCTCCGGGACCTTCTGGAACAGAGTTCTGAATTTTCGTCGCAAACTCCACCCACTTTGGTCAAGCTCCGCCCACCGATGACAGCTGGCCTCCACTCCCCCCACCCACCTCCATCCACCTTTTCCCGGCCTCCGGGACTTCTTGGAGCCGAGTTATGAATTTTCGTCGCAAACTCCGCCCACTTTGGTCAAGCCCCGCCCACCATTGACAGCTGGCCTCCACTCCTCCATACACCTCTATCCACCTTTTTCCGGCTCTTTAAGACTTCCCCGACCCGAATTATGAGGGCTTGTAGAAAATGCTGTACACTTCAGAGCGCGCCCCGCCCATTCTGGGCGGCCTCCGCCCACGTCATGTATGCAGGAAACACCTTAGACATTGCTCCCTTACACCAAATTGTTTTCTGCTCTGTAGGCTTTCTCCCAACCGAGTTATGAAATTTTTCATAAAGCACTGCTTTTTTAGAGAACGCCCCGCCCACCGGGGGTGGGTCTCCCTAATTCGATGTGACTTACCAATGCACACCTTACCCACTTTTTGGCCCAGTTTCGAGGTCGTTTTGTCACTGAAATCGAAATCTTGGTCTTTGGTACAATTCATTTCGTACGCACGTATAAACTGTATGCTATACGAAGTCACCTGTGGCGGGCCTCCGCTTAGATGATGTGTGTTTTCTTTTTCGTGAGACCTTGTCCACCCATTCCACACTTGACCCGGTCCTCCTCCAGGTGGATCCCGAGGAGCTAGGGACATTTCGTGACAGACATACAGAAACGACACACGACACACGACACAGACACACGACACACGACACACGACAGACGAAGCGCTTTATAGTAAGTAGGTGACGTTATTTTCATCATCTATTCCCTTCCTACTGAAAATTCAAGAGAATTGCTCTGTAAAATCGCAACATCCTCTTACCTCCTTAGTAGCTGGAGGGTAAGAGGACGAGGCTGCTGCAAGGAACACACAGCGCACAAAAATTGTCAAGGGTTTTTCAGCTATTTTAGAAGCTGGAGCAAGTGAGTGCCAAATAGGTTTTCCCAAACGTCTTTGCCCATTTCCGTGTGTACGTTGGCAAATCTCCAGGGATAACTTTTGAACATCCATTGTAAAACGCATGTAAACCCTAGTCAATGATCTCTTCAGAGCATTTCTGCCGTGGTATTTCGCAGCGATTATGGCTGAGAAAACTTTGACTGAAAGCATATTTGGCTACTCTTGATTCTGAAACCCAGAAAACGCGTCAGTGGAAGCGATGCGGCAAGAGCCCTGCCTTGCGATGGACTTCCAGAGTGTCTTTCACGACATGGCAAACATTTGGTTGACCAGAAACTTGAGAAAGCCGAATGTCGATCGGCTTGTTTCACTGAATGACAAGTGTCTCTTGGAGTTGTTTGGAAACAGTCTCTGGTGCAATGCACGGTAACTGACACAGCTTTTCCACAGTTATCAGAACACAATAGCCATTCCTCAATAGCTCCTCAAAAAGAAGAGAAATTATGGCAAAAGGAGATTTCGTGATCTGGGTGACAACCGCCTTCAGAAGCCTTCAGATTTTGCATGAACATTTTGATTTACCGGCTGTTCTTGTTTGACCCGACTACTTTGTTTGGTGGTAGCAAGAAGTGAGCTCCTCACGTAAGCTACAGCAGGAAGCGCCACTGGCTCGAACGCGTAGAACCGAAGATTCCGACGTCCATTCCAGCACTGCAACTCGAGAGGTACCTTTCAGAGTTGGTAAAGCTGTTCATCGACAGCTCCTAACAACGAACTGCACTGTTGTGTTCGGTAATGTGGGCAAGCGGATGGGTTCTCCGGCACTGTGCTCGGAAAACATTACAAAGTTCATCCAGGCAACGACCGTCAAGGAATTTTGAAGAAGGTCATGCAAAAATCTCCGAGCCCTTATGGGATGTTCTGTCTCGCCAGTTGTGTTCAGCAGATCTGCCCCAACAGAATACCGTCTGCTTCTGTTGCTGTTGATTCAACTAAAAGAGGGAGAGCTTCATGATCCGGACTACTCGGAAAACGGACTTCTTCCAGTTTTTTGCTTGAAAGCTCAGGATTTCTAGGCAAACGGCATCCACAAGTCACCTGCTGAAAGGCAATATGTTGACGATTATGATGGGGCATATGATTGTAAATTGCTGACTGGGCTAAAGAAGAAAAGTGGATTCGAAAAAAATCGACAAATGGCCAAAGACTTTCGGAACAACCTAATATTTGACTTGCTACTGCTAGAACCGCATTATCTATAAAATTTTGTGTGAGCTATAGAACATCGACTCCATCCCTCCGGGGTCGGTTAATTGGTACCAGACTTGTCTGGGAGGATAAAAACACTGACTTGTACATCGGCTGGCCCCCGCAAGTCATTGTATAGGCCACATCGCATTCAAACGCCACTACGAATGTACAAATGGAAGTAGAATGCGTGCCGCATCCCAAAAAGGGATTGATCAACGGCAAATGCTTTATCCTTTATCCTTATTTATAGAACATCGTGAAAGTGCGAAAGTGAAGATTTGGGTAAATGCGCACAAGTCAAGCGACGTGTTGAAAAATTGTTTCCCATTTGTCAGAGAAATACATTTCCCACGGGCGTGTTTTTGCAGTCACATAAATTCATTTTGTTCCATTGAGAGGAAAAATAATGTTTCGCAACATGCTCTTGCAACTTTGTCATCTTCATCTTTTTCCTTGTGTCAATTCCGCGCTTTCGAGGGATTTGTCCGTTCTTGTTAGATCCCCCCTCCGAGGCGTACTCTGCCGTTGCTTCGACATCGGTGATGTCCTTCTTGAAGGAATTGTCCCCGAATAAATCTTACATCTTTCCCAGAAGAAGATCTCAGCCGTGATCACTTGAGACAACGTACGAAAATTTGCGCAAGAAGATCAAGTGTTTAAAGAGAAACAAATTCTTGAAAACCCCACTGCGGACGGTTGCGGGTAGATCGGGAGAAGAAAAGGGAAAGAAGTGCGCCTTTGGGCGCACTTCTTTCCCTTTTCTGGCTACGTTAGGCGGCGCACTAAAAGAATCTGATGAAAGCGTTCGATTTTGGAGAATAGAAACAAAACGATCGATAGAGTTGCGTTATCGTCACAGGAGGAGAAGGCCAAGAAGAGGCCTTCCTAGTGAGGGCACGTCGAGAGAAAGATGAAATCATTCCCGTCGTCAATATCGTTGACGAGTTTAAACGCGTAGCAGTCCTTCGATCTATCGAATTGTTTACCGAAACAACGCAGTTTTTCGTTTCATTCCTGTCGTAAATGATGGGCCTATGGCCAGTGAACTATTGGCGAGATTAGATCGCGATTTTTCCATGGACGGTTTCGTTGATGAGCTCTTTCGCCTTTTCATTTAAGGGTTCCTTGCGGTCGCTCGCCCCACGCTTCGAGGTCTAGTACCTTCCTTATCGGCTGATTCCGTAGCCTTGTTAACGCGTGTCTACACCATTGCAGTCGCTATTCTTGTTCTGTCGTTCGCATAAAAGCCGTATGGATGTTTGCCTTGACCTATGTGTTTCTGACCCTGCCCAGCCGCGTGAAGCTGCCTTCCATTATCTTGAGTTGCAAGCCTGTATTCTACCATAGTGTCGTGAGCAGGGTCGACAGTCCGTTGGTTCAGTTCCAGAAACTTGACGACCCCTTCTTCTTGGCGGGGGATCTCGATACAGCCCCATATCCGTCAAACACGACCCCTCTCTCCCGCTACCGCGACCCCTTTTTATACGATCTCTTTCTCAACTTTTGATCCTTCGGCTACCCCTAACAGGACCGCCCTCCGAAAAACGGAATACTACGGCTGTTGGGAACTGCGCAACCCTTGATTGACCTTGGTCGTGAGCTTTAGGACGGTTTGGTGTACCTGCGCACGAGAGTCATGGAGCGTTGTCGATCGCATAGGGTACAAGTGAACGTCCTCCGTTTGGTTTATGCCGCATCCATTCGAGCACTTACTGAAATGTCCACGCGATAGTTGATGACTAAGCCGTTTCTAGGTATCCGAAGTTCTCTACTCTTTAAGCGTTCGATATCTTGGAGAGCTGTACAAAAGTATCCAGTGTTAATATTAGGAGTAACGACCTCAGATCTGATTCATGGTGTATTCCAACCGTGATATTACCTCTTTTGTCAGGACGTCCGATTGAGAATGGCTGTCATTTGGGTAGCCCCGTCATACAAGTTCTTCTCACTCACGTGCTTCGAACTGTTCCTTTTTCGCCTTTTAAAATACTGAAGGGTTGACGGTCAAATGCTGTTCCAGAGGCGAGGTTGCATTCCTGCGCTTTTTGTAAAATGATTTTATTATCAAACACCTGCAGGGTTGATGAAGAAATAGTCAGAGAATGAGAATGGTCTTCCTTGAAACAAGTTAATTTTTTTAATTTCTTGATTTTTTCCAATTTCCGGAAACTACTTTTTCTGAATATGAACTGATCTTTGATGATGGTTTCAAAGTATCATTTTTTTAGTTTTAGAAGGACACTGCAAGACCGATTGTCGACTGAAGCAGTGCACAGGTGCGTAGTTTTTGAGTGCTTTATAGATTGTTGTTGATTAATGCCATATTTCTGAGACGCCTTTTCATCAGACCTCACCACTAAAGCTGACTTAGGAGTTTGGAGCCGATGGAGGCGGCGAGACAAGGTGAGCCCCGAGAAAAGGGATATCTCGGAGGCAAGAAAGGTGAGTTTTGATCGCTGAAGCTCTGTTGAGCAGGCAAAATTGTTAGATTGTGCAGGCCGTGGGAATATCATTCGTGGAGCATCACTTGACAATCGAACAGTTGAAAGATCTCTATCCAGATTCATATATTCATCACGAATTTCCCGAACGCAGTGATGGCTTACACAGTGAAGAAGCCAGGTGAATTGATTGTAGCGCATTCTAGAAAGCGTTTGTTCGAATTCGCCTCTTGTTAGCTCCCAGATATTTAAAATTATGTAAATTTGAACTGGTTT